CATTATTATATTACGCACTAGTGGGTGTGTGCCTGTATTCGTGTTGGTCTGATAAAGATGATTTAGAAAAAAAATGAATACTGATGTCTCCTCAATACTGCAGTATATTAATAACAAACGGTCCCTTTACTAAAATAAGATAATACCAGATACAGCTAGAAATCATAAAACTTGAATACGAGGGGCATACCAAAGGTTTTTTACCTGACCATGAAAGGTAGAAAGCTGAAATTTGGGGTGAAAGCGAACAGTCATCTTCCTAGAATGCTGCTTAATTTGGGGGAATTTCCAATTACTAGTTTTATCACTAGCGCATTGTAAGTGAATGTGGGTATGTTGTTCTCTTGTTTCAACATAAAAATGAAGATAACTGAGCGCACGGGCAATAATGAAGTTATAGTTCTTGAAAGGCAACCAACAACAGGATATTTTTACGAAGATGCCTTTCGCATATGGAACCGATTGCTCATCCTATGCTGTGATGAAATTTTGGTGTAAAAAAATCAAATGCGGATTCTTGGACATTGAAGATGGCCGCCGTGGTAGTCGCTCAGTGACCAGTGACAGCTACAGCAGGAGAGAATATGTTGAAAATCAAGAAATTTGGGACTAAGAAGGAGTGATTATGACATACTATTTTGAAAATGGATATACGATCATAGAAGACCATTATTCTATGCAGCTAAAAAAAGTTACGAAAAACACAGAGGAAAGATTCGAAAGGGTATTTTGCTGCTTCACGACAACGCGCCAGCACACTCTTCAAGAAAAGCTGCGGAAATTGCGCGAGAAAATGGCTATGAAATTTTGCCACATCCATCCTTTTCTCCAGATTTAGTCTCGTCTGACTTTTTTTAGTTCCTAAACGAAAAAAAGATTTAAAAGGAAGGCATTTTGAAAACGATGATGATATCAAAGAAGCGAAGAGGGCTGGTTTCCAGACATATAGAGGTCCGCTATTCTCAAGGTCTTTTCAAGGCCATGCACCGATGGTAAAAAATGTGTAACTGTGGGGG